TTCCTTCCTCAAATTCTAAAAAATCCTCCTTATTTCTATTGGTAGTTCTTATCATACCCAACCCAAGATCCATACATACAACAAATTGGTATAAGAATCTAGTTTGGGTGGGTGTATGCCAGCAAAAACCAGACAAATATAGAAGAAATGAGCAACGATGAAAGATGGACCCGTACATGAGGAGATCAACGTGGAGGCATTGATGGAGCAGCTGCAGAAAGTGGCCTCGAAGCAGACCGATTCAGAATATAAGCGTCTACAACTAGGAGAAAAACTGGAAGGTCATGTCTAGCATGCAATCTAGATTCTTCAACCTCTTGATAATGCTATCATACATATTAGCAAAGGTGAGTGTAGGTGGCGGCTGGCTTGCAGATTCGCTGTGGCCATAACCACCAAGGCTCTGAGGTCAGCAACCACCGTTGGCATTTCAGATTACAATAAGAGGATGGAGGAATGCATTCTACGTCATTCTAGTGAGAAAAGAGGAGAAAAGTGTATCATGTCTTTTTTGGAAGATGCCATTGCGTGAATGGGAAACAAAGGAAAGGGACCACAAACCGAGATTGTGCAAGATAGAGTTCTGGGAAACAACGACCAGTCTTGGACCACATGGCCACTACGTTGAAGGTCTTCATGGAGCCGGAAGTGTGGTCACAGAGATGGTGCGAGGAAGGACTAGGAGGTCAGGCTAATCCGGGATAGGCAGAGCACGCGACGGGCGCCTGGTTCACACCAGTTGCGATTAACACAACAAAGACAAAAGGGAGTCTAGGTGCATAGCGCTAGGGTGAAGACCAAAATTGCTATTGAGGTCAAGGTATTCGAACCATATTCGCTCAAGGTCACCTTCCGAATAGCAAATCAGAAAGAAAAAGAATTAGTTGGGAAGCCGAGCAATGCAGAAGATCGTTTAAGACATGAGGTGGACGAGGCGACTCATGAAGTGGGTCGGGCGCGACATATGGGGGTTGGGCGCATGAGGAGCGGTGACCAACGTGACTAATCCGACAGGGGGAACATGCGTGGTGGGGGGGGGGAGCAGGTGGAGGACCACCGGGATCGACATGGCCAGGGTTGTCTCCGCGAGGATTTGTCCGTCTAACTCTCGCTGAGCTAGACTGGAAGCCTCATGATAGCAAATGCTATAACTGCAGCGAAAAGTTCACTATAGGTCACTATTGTGGCAATAAAAATTTGTTGCTGATGGTAGGGACCTTCTAGAGTAAATTAGAGGAAGCTGAGGCATGCAAGGCAAATGGAGGAATGCAACTTGGAGGGAAAGGTTGCTCTGAAGCGCCAGATATTTTTCAATTTGGGATTATTTCGTATTATGTTAATTCATGATACTAGGAGGATTAGATTACCTCAAATTAGCTGGAATTTAGGGGGAATAATTATATGCTAAATCAGGATAGTTATAAAAGAAATTTCTTTATAATAGGATCAATTTAGTCAAAATCGCGCTTTAAAACTTAAAACTTACGCTTATACGTTTCTAGGTCTCCATAATGCTTCTACGCAAAATCTCAATTTTTATAGCTAATGTAGTTAAAAACACGCTTTCAAACTTTGAAACATACGATTTTACGCTTCTACATCACCAAAATGCTTCTATACAGAAACACGCTTTTAACTCCATTGAATAGGATAGTGTTGGTTAAAGGAATTCATTAAGTATAATAAACTAATTATCAATTGTTCAACTTCTCTCTCCTCTTCGTCGAATCCCCCTTCCAAGCAAACTCTTCTCTCTTCTTCTCTCCCAGAACTCACATTCAATCCTTCTTCCTTCCTCAACTTCTTAAATCCCCTATTTCTATTGATAGTTCTTAGCATACTCAACCCAAGATTCATACCTACAACACGCAGTGTAGACGACCGAAGAAGACGATCAGGCTAGGTTCGCTCTCTGCTCTACCGCTAGGTCCGCTCTCTCTTGCTGCTTCTTTCCTCTGTTCTGTTTGTCATCTTCCATCGTCTACTCAAGGTTGTTTTTCTTGTGCAAGGTCAACTATAAAACCAATCATTTAAATTTACCAATTGAGCGATTTGTTAAGTTTGTGGGACAAGCGTTCCGTGTGGTCGACCACTTTGTTGGAAACGATCGACCTCGTCTTGATATGGTAGACCACTTTGCTGGAAACGTCGACCTTTTTGCTTATGAGTCTCTTACGCACGGTTGACTGGTCCAGGTTTAAGGTCGAGTACGATCTTCCATCAGAATGGCCACGTTGGTGTAATCGGTGGACTGTTTTGTCCAAATCATTTGTCACTTGCAAGTCACCATAAGCATACCCTAATTTGAGTCTTTTTTTCCTTCCTATTTTTTTTTGCCAAATCATCCACATAACGACCAATGATTATAGTTGACCATTATGTATGACAAATTTAATAGTGTTGGACAGACAATAATCAATAGTGAAAGGAGTTTAAAGTGAATGACTAATAAGTAAGGAAAATGTTTTTGGTGTCAAATGTGAAAAATTGATAATGCGAGTGATCAGAGCGTTTAATTTGGCAAAATACACTTTCATAGCCATAACTTTTACGTTTGTGACAAATATAGCCACAAGTTTTTAAATAGGCAAAAGTTTGGATGGTAGTATGACAAATCTAGTGATTTCAATTACAAACTTTAACGGCTTTAGAGACGCCGTCAGTTATGTTAGCGGTACGATGACTAGGATGCCAATTCAGCACACACGTCATCAATAAATCAACATCAAGTGACACGCAGATTACACATCATATTTACTTAAAAATATTTAATCATAAGAAATAAAAAATCAACTTTGCGGCGCTTCCGTTTCCTCCCACCTACGCCCTTACGAGGCTTTGCCCACTCCCACCTCCAACATCAAATCACCGCTGCCAGAATCGTCCAATATCTCTCTGTTCTTATTCTTCGAAACCCAGCTCCCTTATCTGTCCTGAGACAACACTGATATCCTAACCCAAATTGTAAATATTCAAATGATCTTGCAAAACCCTAAAGCTAAACCGTCAGAAACCAGACTGATTTCCGTACAATTGGATGAGATGGAATGGGGTATTGGCGCAGGAAATGCACGAGAGGATGACTATTGGGAACATGCAAAATTGTCCAGAGAAAGAGAAACGAATTTGGACCTCAAACCATTTGCTCAATCCGTTGAGCCACCTCCAATACTTACTGAGCTCCGCCATCCCCCTGATCGTTGCGACCCTTCTTTTCTCTTTGAGCCAGGGGATCCTGTACCTCGCCAAAACACCCTCACAACATGGGTAATTCGTTTTCCAATCATTAATCCAAATCTGACAAAATAGCTGACAGAGAGGCGAAGAGGGCGGCCTCCATCATGGTTGATAAGCAAAGCGGAACAAAAGGGGGAAACTAAGATGTCAGACGGTGGAGAGAGGAATAGTATAATGGAAACGGAGAGAGGGGGGAGAGAGAAAATAAAAATATTTAATTGATTTATTTTAATTTTTTTCAGTTAATTCCACCTCATATTGTTATTGACGGATCGTCGCCAACTCATCATTTTATGTCAATCTAGTCATACCGTTAAGTGACGCCGTTAAATGGATGGACGGAAGTGACTAATTACTATATTTTCACAAAATTAGTTGGGTATATTGAAGTGTATTTTGCCTTTAATTTAGCCAAACTACAATTAACGGATTACAATTTGACCTTTTTTGGTGAAGCATCAACTTTGAGTAAAACACGGGTAAAATATCTCGGATGCCACTTAAATTTGAGAATTGGGGTAGACACACCACTTAAATTTGAATAGGGCGTTGGGTACCATTAATGTCTCCATAATGTACATCCGTCTACTTTTCCATCCAATCCAAACTTTTAATTACTTTTTTTCGTACCCAAACTTTAAAAAACATCCAAAACTATATTTCAACAAATTTTATCTAATATAATAATTAGAAAAACTTCTAAACATATTATTACTAGAATGACTAATCAAATTTTTTCAATAAAATAGATAAATTAGTAAAAACAATAAACAAATATCAAGAAGAATAATAAATATACTAGAATATTATAATAAATATTTAAAATCAATATTAGAATAGCTATTTAAACCCCTAATTCATTTAGAAGCACCATTAGAAATAGTTAAAATAGAACCTAATCGATCATCAATACATCAAAATCAAAGAATGATAAATGGAACACAATCAGAAAGAATTAAACATATTCCACTATTTAAAAAAATTTAGAACGAAAAGAGATGGAAAGTAATCAAGTAATAAATAAAATATAAAAGCTACAACATTCGAATGTAAAAAATGTGGAAAAGAAAATATGACTATAAAAGCTATAACATTGTTTAGTTACAACATTCATGTAATAATTCAATTATTAGAACACATAATAATAATTCAAAATAATTATAATGATAATTGATTCTAAATTTTCAAAATTTCGTTTGGTCTCAAGTATTCAAAAGAGGATTCTAACTAAATAATAAAAATGATATTTTTTTATATGTCCAAATATTTTTTTTACAATAAAAAAGTAGAAGGACCAATTATGAAATTTAGAAAACGGAATATTCCAAAAATATTATGTCAGAATGCACCTAGCTATAAACTTAAGTGGTACCGGATGCACATATAATAGAGTTCAGTAGTATCTAACATCTTATTCAAACTTAAATGATATGTCTATACCAATTCTCAAACTTAAGTGAAACTCAAATTATTTTACCGATTAAAATACCGTAAATTCATACTCGTTCATGGATCACAAATTCAGAGTCAGCGTGCTCAAGTCGGAGAAGGCAAAAGGGCGATCGCGATATATGATGGTTTCTTTTAGGTTCAGCTTCCTTCACTGATCTTCTTCACCTTCCCCGGTGAAAGTACTTTTGAAATTAAAGAAAAAATAGAAGGGGCTCCTTCATTCCTCCCATACCTGTTACGACGAAATAGCTATGGCCTATGGACAAAAATGATAATTAATGAGTTATTATACTTGATCTGGGGGTTGGACGCTATTCATTCCACCTCGCTGATCCCCAATCTTCACTGCTAGATCCCAAAACCCCTGATTCGTTTCCGCCGCTGATCGCCATCGCCGAAAGGTACCGTAGCTTCCCTCTTTGCTTCTTCTCCTCATTTCGTCCTCGTCCGCGGACGACTCTTCTGATCCGGGAGAATGTGCTCTTGTTGCGCTCAATTTTGAGTTGTCCCTTGAACCAGTAGCTCGAAAGCCTGCTCGATTTCTCTTTAGCCATCGTGCTGTTCTAGTCTGTTACTGCGTCACGGTTTGCTGGAGTAATTTTGTTGGTTAAATTCCAGCTCAAATCCCTGCTTCTAGTGCTTGAATTTAATCTATGTGTTATTGTTCTCTGCCGAGAATTATGGCGGATTTGATTCAGCAAGCGTGTTTTAGCTGGTATTGTATAGTGGCGTGGATAGAGACAACCATGGAGGGGGGAAGTGTTGACGGACGAGTTCTAAAGCTACGGTATTTTTGTAGGAAGACACTCCGGTGATTGTGGGTGATCATAATGCAGCACGCCCCAGCAACGATTGAAGAGCAACTGATTCTGAAAGCAATCAAGGAAGAGAGCCCATGGGAAAATCTTCCGAAACGGCTCCAGGCTACTCTTACATCAAAAGAGGAATGGCATAGAAGGTTGGGATGGTTTCCTCTTGTAGGAAAATACTGCTCTTAGTTATTGCTATACTAGTTGACTAGTGCTTTCATACCCTGTCTTGTCTCAGTTTTGGGGTTATTATTGAGTAGAAATTCCGTATATTCTTAAATGTTTTTAACTACTGCAACCCCTTAAACCCTGCTTTCCCATCTTGTGAATCTTGCTTACCTCATTGTATGTTGTTTCATTTGGTTTTTTCACCATTTTTGCTTGGATCACACCTGCTGGCAGGATAGTAGAGCATTGCATCAAGAAACGACTCCAATGGACAGCCTCTTTTGCTCGGAAAGTATTAAAAGAAGGTGAATATTATGAAGAGATGATGCGTTACTTGCGAAGGAATCTGGCGGTGCGTTTCATAGAGCAAGTTTTGCCAGCTGTTATTACTGTCATTTAACACACATACTGCATTTTCTTTATACTAAAAAACGTTGTATTTTGACCAAGGAATCTAAGAGCTTTCACAAATGCTGGCGATATGGTTGAAACATCTGGGGTTGAACATAATTAAGCAACACAGCTTTGTCATGTAGTAATGTAGAAAAAGAAACCACTATGAAACTGCCATGGCATAAGTTATTATCTTCTGCAGTTTAGTGATTGTGTGCGTCCCTGTGTTACTTGCAGCTCTTTCCTTATCACCTTGCAGATTATGTTTGTCGAGTCATGAGGATATCACCCTTCAGATATTACTGTGATATGATCTTCGAGGTTATGAAGAATGGTAAGAGGGTAGTCTCTATCAGATTTTCAAATGATTAGGTTATTGCAGTTTTTTCTTTTGTCCTATTGCATGATGGCTCCCACACACAGCATAACAGAAAATGCAGTTAAATCATTTTCCAACTATTGACCATCCAGGAAATTTCTGTCACAGCATGCTTGCTCACATACAAGTTTGCGAATGGAAGTGAAATAAGAAAATGTGGTATTAACAGCACATGATTTAAAATATAATAATTGTTTTCATGATAAATTGGTTTTTATCATAGATTCTTATTCTTATTCTTATTCGGCAATACTTGTTCAGAAGTATGGATGAATTCAGTTCTGATAAATGACTAAAAATCCTTTTACCATTTTTATGAGAATTGTCATTTGTTGGGTGGGAAGGCCTAAGATAGTCACTGGAAAACCATTGCACAAATAGATATCATTCAGATCCAGATTTTATAAAATAAGAATTTATTGCTAAGCAAGATTGCATGTATATACATCCTAGGATGATAATGAGAGCTTAGAAGTCAGAATACAATGATTTGGGGACACTGTTGATTTGTAGCTAACTTAGGTTTGCAAGGGAGGGTAAAATTATCTGGAAATTGGTGAACTTTTGCTGAATACTAGTGTGACTACAAAAGAATGGAAACCATTCTAGTTACTTGCACCCGAAATCTGCTTTCTTGTGCAGATAAATGCATTTCATAGTCCTTAAAATGATAAGAAGTAGCCAAGATTGAAGTCATTTCGCATATGATGGGAAGTAAGTGCTATGAGTAGAGATTGCTGAAAAGAGATATGAGTTATACTACTGCATCACACATGATCACTGAAATGAATGTGCTGTCTAACCAGTGGCACAATCATAACTAGCAAGTAATAGATAGAGAGAAGGATCATTGAAAGTGGAAGGAGAAAATCCAAATGTGGTTGGCCTTCTGGGCTCCTTGTCTCTATTTCCTTACGAATTTAGTTTTTAGCTACATTGACTTCTGAGAAAGAGAGAAGGGAGGTGGGCAGGTTACTATTTGGAATAGTGGTTGGTGGTTTCCTTATAGGTGGTTACTGCTTTTCATGATTGATCGGATTGTTTGTGTTAGCTATTTTCTATTCCTCAAACTCTGTCACATTAATGTTGGTCAGTGGTGAGGTGTTTGCAGAATAGTATGAATACTAGAGGGCAGCAATTGCTTTTTAACTTGTGGTTTAAATCAATATATAATTCTGCTCGATTCATATATTCCTTGCTTTTCACAGAACAACCATATGACAGCATCCCAAACTTCAGTGCTGCAGATGCCTTGCGACTTACAGGAATTGGGAGAAATGAGTTCATTGATATTATGAATAAATGCAGGTCTAAGGTATCATTCACGAACTTTATGTAGGGAAGACAATCACACTTAAATATTTCAATCATGATTTGGGTCAAAGCTTATGTTCATCCGTTGATGTGTCTAGTAGTTATTGTAAGTTAATGGACTTCTTTCTTCTGCCAAGTGACGTTTTACTGACCTGGTTCATCCGTTTGATGTATAAGCTTTGCTGGAGCCAGAATGTGCAACTGTATAATAGGTTTATCTTCGCTGAAAGTTGTCTGACCTCCCATTACTTGCTTAATGACTCAGAAAATCATGTGGAAGCTGAACAAGTCAATTGCAAAAGAACTTTTACCTGCACATCCTGCAGACTTTGCAATAGAACCATGGTGGGGCGTGTGTCTTGTCAACTTTACACTGGAAGAGTTTAAGGTGAACTCACCTCTCTCCTTCTGCATGTTTTCCCCGCATAGGCTTAACCAGCCTTGGATAGTCTTATGTTTCTTGCCCTACATGATGAGTGAGGATTTGTGGATTAGCGGTGCATGACTATGTGACGATTTACCATCTTCGTTTCTTGTTTGTCTTGTCTCGGTTCAATTAGAAACTCTCTGAAGAAGAGACCGCCACCATCGACAAGATCTGCAAGGAGGAAGCTAATGCATATATCCTGTTTGATCCTGACATCATAAAGGGCATGTACCAGAGGGGATTGATCTACTTTGATGTTCCTGTATATCCAGAGGACCGTTTTAAAGGTAATTCTTTCTTTTCCTGTCCTTTTCAATTTGTTGCACTATGCATTCCATAAACATGAAAGGTATGAAACCATAACTGCCCTCAGAAAATGTTGTGCTTTATTTATCATAAACATCATAAATGTTTTATATGTTGGAATCCAACTACTTACCGTCTGCATGCCTCAGTTTCCAGGCTTGAAGGCTTTGTTTCCAACAGGGAGCAGTCTTATGAAGATCCCATTGAAGAGTAAGTAGATGCCTCAACTTTGATCCATTTTCTGTGTGCCATTGCTGTCTAATTTCACTGAAAGGAAGGACTTAACTCTGGGAATCCTTATGTCCAGGTTACTGTATGCAGTCTTTGTTGTTTCAAGTGAGAATGCTACTGTTTCTGAACTGGCAGCCACATTACAGGCTGATCTTTCTAAGCTACAAGCTGCTGCATCGTTTGCTTGTCGATTGGGATGGGCGCAGAAATTGATCGATCCAGGATCCGTTCTTCAAGATGCTAACATGCCTGTCTCTCCAAGAGCCAGTGTCACTGATGAAGACGATGCTGCTCGTGCCAGTATAAGCTCGACGAGATCAACTGATGGCGATGGTCTGCAAGAACCTCTGGCATCTGAACACCTTGGGCCCCGTGTGAGCCACACTCGGGTTGCATTTATTGTCGATGCCAATATAACATCTTACCTTATGATGGGATCAGTTTCTCCTGGTTAGTTTGTTTTCTTTTGCCCGATCAATGTGTTTTTTTATTGTGAAATAAGATCAGTGCATCACAAAGATCAGACCTTATGTGACCGGTACTTCAACAGGATTTTAGTTAACATGATGACTTCTTAAAGTGTGCTTGGGAATCCTTGATGATCAATCTTATGTGTTTCTTCATTTTATTCTTTTCTCCCGATCCCAGATTCACTTGTGTGGAGGTTCAATGTTTGGCTTGCCTAATAGGAATTAAAATTTAATCATTATTACACAGATTATGAGGTATATGGCTCATCATTCTCAACAGGAGGATTGGCTGCTTCATGTTTTCTTTACTCTTTCTTGGGGTGCATATCTGTTAATTTTAATAAACAAGTAACTGAATTCAATTCAGTTAATTTAGAGATTATAATTTGGGGATGAGAGAAACAGGCAGAACGGCTGGCAGATTTGAGTTATGCTGCCATAGGACTTTGATTGACCATGGCACCTAATCTAAAAATTCAAGTTCAACCGTAATGTTGTATTTTTTTCCTTCCATTTTCAGCTGGAATAAAAGGTCATTTTTTCCATAAGGAGGCATATGCCTTTTGTTCCTGCATTGAAATTGTCTAGTCAGACTGATTATGTAATTTATCATTTTCCCTTCTGCTGAGCAGTATTGTCTAGTTCAAAGCTTACTGCCACTTCTCTCGTTATCAGATGTTAAGCTGTACCTCTTTTTTTTGCTCTCAACTCTCTATTGTAATTGACAATCTGATAGGCTTTGCGGTTACCATTTTACAGGCTTGAAATCTCATGCTGTGACATTGTATGAAGCTGGCAAGTTGGGTCATCCTAGCATTGCAGATCTTTGCAAAGATCTCAGCTCATTAGAGGGGGCGAAATTCGAGGGTGAATTACAGGAATTCGCAAATCATGCCTTTAGCCTGCGATGTGTTCTAGAATGTCTGCTCTCAGGTGGAGTTGCTACTGATGCAGAAGCAGATGAAGTTTGCAATAAGCTCAGCAAAGGGGCTTCAAACAGTGATGAGTCCACTTTGATCGCTGATATCACTTCTGCTGACAGCAAATCAGGAACCTCTGGTGCTGATGAAGCTGGAGCGGAAGTGAATTATTCAACAAATTCAGAAGTTCCCCCAGATGGCAGCAAGGTGATGTCATCTGCATCTCTATCTGATGAGGGGCCAAAGTCTGAGCAAAATGATGACAAGTTTACTACACCAGCTGAAGGTTCTGATATTGGAAAAGGTTTAAGAAGGAAAAGGAGGTACCGTGTTGATATCCTGCGTTGTGAAAGTTTGGCTGCTTTAGCACCAGCAACGCTAGACAGGTTATTCCGTCGTGACTATGATATTGTTGTATCCATAGTTCCTCTTCCCCATTCAGCAGTTCTTCCTGGACCAAAAGGTCCTCTCCATTTTGGTCCTCCCACTCATTCGTCATTGACACCATGGATGAAATTGGTGCTATATACCACTGTAGCTTGTGGGCCCCTGTCAGTTGTTCTCATGAAAGGACAATGCTTAAGATTGCTTCCTGCTCCATTGGCTGGGTGTGAGAAGGCCTTAATATGGTCTTGGGATGGTTCAACAATTGGTGGGTTGGGAGGGAAGTTTGAAGGAAATTTGGTGAAGGGAAGTGTCCTCTTGCATTGCTTAAACTCTCTGCTGAAGTACTCTGCTGTTCTTGTGCAACCACTCAGCAAATCTGATCTCGAGAAATCTGGAAGAGTTATTACAATGGATGTGCCTCTGCCCCTAAAAAATGCTGATGGTTCAATTGCTTGTGTGGGGAATGAATCGGGTCTGTGTGAACTAGAAAGGTCAAGATTGAATTCTCTGTTGACTAGTGTGACAAACAAATTGGAATTGCCAACAATTGGTTATATTCGCTTACTGAAGCTTTTTAATGAAAGGGAAGCAGACCTGTTTGCTCCTGATGACCGGAAATATGAATGGGTTCCTTTAAGTGTGGAGTTTGGGATGCCCCTTTTTAGTCCCAAACTATGCAACAGCATATGCAAAAGGGTCGTTGCATCAGAGATACTGCAGTCTGATTCACTTACTGAACATCATGACACGATGCAAGGCTTACGGAAAAGGTTGAGAGATGTATGTGCAGAATACCATGCAACCGGTCCTGCTGCCAAGCTCCTTTATCAGAAAGAGCAACAAGCAAAGGATTCATCTAGGCAGCTCTTGATGAACTATGCTAGTGGAAGGTGGAATCCCCTTGTTGATCCTTCTTCTCCTATATCAGGAGCTTCAAGTGATCTCCAGAGGCTTAAACTTGCTAATCGTCAGCGTTGCAAAACTGAAGTACTAAGTTTTGATGGCAGCATTTTAAGGTGTGTCTTTCTTTTTATTGTTTGCTAGTCATAGACTGATTTTCATAATTAGGTGCTACCGAATGGATTCGAACCTTGGATCTCCTTGGTTTATTGTTTGCTAGTCATGTTGGTTTATTACCCTGCTCCTCTATCCCAAGTTTAGAGCTTCCAGGTGTATGTCAATACTGCAGAACTCACTGATAGTATGGTCTATAGGCACTCTGTTTTACCAGTGCTTGGTGTCGCCTCCAATTGATAAAATAACCAACTCATAAAAAAAAAAAAGAATACATTCTTCAAACCTCCCACTTCCACTTCCACCTCTAAAATCTAGTTTTAAATTGACGTTTTCCGCCTTTAGTTTATCTCTACTTCCTCCTTTATACCCCTTTTCTTCTATAAAACTTCAAAAGAGCGGGTGGGATCATGTGAGTCACTTCTAACAATTCACATATTATAGTAGTTCCATCTATTAAAAAATGTGAAAAAGTGTGAGTCCACCTAATCATTTCATTAGCATTTACTTGGTTAATTATTTGCTCTCACTTTCAATTCTATGATGCTTCTGTTGACAACTCTAATAGGCTGTCTATTGGATGAATTAAATGGGTCCTTGGTATTTCCAGATGTTCATTCTGTGCGGTGAAACACATCTTTGATTGGCAAAATTGCAAAATTATACAACCAAATTCTCAAAAACTTGGGCCTTGTGTACTATTGATTTCATTCAGTTTCCAAAACATGGGACTTGTGGAAACATAGATGAATCAGAATAAAGCTGAACTCAAAACTGAAAACTTGTTTAGCTTGCAACTGTGGAATCTCTATCAATGTGAAAATAAAAGCAAAAACATTTTTAGTTCTTTCCATCTTTACCATCATATTCAAAAGAAACAAGCAAAACTCAATTGGATAAATAAAAAGAAAAAGTTGTCCCAGAAAATTATTGGAAAAAGAACACATTAATGGTTGCAATGAACAATTTGGATGATTGCAATCGTGGTCTCAAACTTCATCCACTAAGTTAAGCTTAATGGTCAGATTGAACATCTTGAACTTATCCTTTATACAGCTGACTGATAGTTTTATAGCTTTCGTTGTCATAACAAGTTTTTTAATGATCATTTTTGTTACTCTTGCAGATCATATGCACTGTCTCCTGTGTACGAGGCCTCTGCTAAAGTGATTGAAGAAGCATCTTTAGTCAATACTATTAAAGTTGATCCAAATGAAGCTGATAGTAGAGAAGTAGCTCTCCCGGGTGTCAATCTTATTTTCGATGGCTGTGAATTGCACCCTTTTGAGATAGGTGCTTGCCTGCAGGCTCGCCAACCGGTTGCCTTGATTGCGGAAGCTGCAATAGTCTCAGCTTCTGCGATCAAATAATTTTCTTGTGTGCAACGAAGTTCTCCTGGTGGGGTCAGAAAAGACAGATTATCTTCCTGCTAACTTTCTTCTGATTAATATTTGGCTTGCTGCTGTCAACTTGAGGTTACTTGTGCCGGTACTTGCTCCATAACCATGGTAAATGCTTGTTCCGTATCTCCAAGTGCTAGACTTCTTAATGAGTAAGTAGAACTCCATGATGTAAACTGGTAACTTGGCAATAGTAAATTAGGTATCAGTAGCATGTTATTCTTGAATGCATATCAATAACACCCAATAAAGTTTGTCAATTCTACTTGCCTGTTGTATATTTCGGGAATCAGACTGCCAAGGAGTTCAAATTGCCTGGATCTTTAGTTCAAATATCCCCTTTCATCTTGGATGAGTGTTAGATTTTTGAACTGTTGGTGAATCCCTTGATTTACATACTGGTTTGGAGTTTCCTCTATTCCAACTGATTTTAAGCAGTTGATTTCCTCTATATTATTGCCATTAAAAGGATGACATTTGTTATTTCTGATGTAATGCAGGTGGTGTACGTATTAATATTAAGTATAGGCTTTTGCTGACCTCTGGTGCCCCGTTAGACTGATAATGGCACTTGGATTGAAGAATGGTTTAGTTTTCATCCAAAGCCTGGCACAATACTGCCAAGCGACAAGCGAGGATATCAATGACACTTGAGGGAACAAAGTTACAAAGAAAGAAGGTTACCTGCCATGGAAAAGGGCCATTTTGTGTTGCTCAGCAAGTGGAGCTAATTGCTATCCTCTGAAGATGCAGAGTGTATAAATATGAGAGGAATGTAGGAGAGAAGCTGCATATAAATTTTTCCGATTCGGAATAAGTAAATGGCTGAGGTAATACCAGAACATATGGGGCGACTGCAGTCCAGTTACAGAGTTTTGGATTGTTTTTGTGAATTCAGCGGGAGAGTTTTCCGTGGCAGAACTCATCCGTTGAATCATGCAAAACCCAGTTTCCCCTGCTGTGCCTGGATGTTGCAATCAGGATGAAGTCGATTTGTGTTTCGTACAATGTTGTAAATTTGTGCAAGAGACAGTTTAAATCTATGTGCACAAGAGGAAGTTAAATCCATTTGCACTAGCGGCTCATGTTTGATGTCTTAGTGAACCAAAGTTATTCAGCATGACAGAATCATGCGCTTTTATGCAAAGGATCTCGGTCCTGGGCGGTTTTTGATCGACACATTTTGTACAAGTGCTTTCTCATTGGCCAGTGCTACTATCTTTCTCGTATCCGACTGTGGCAAATCACACTTTACTGTTCTGTTAAACTTTGAGGTAGTTGGTCACTGACTCACTGCTTCTCCGTCGACCACGATTACTCAGTACACATCTCATCAGGTCGGAGAGGGAGGGGGTTCAGATTAGGTAAGTAATAGGAAAGGGATTCACATCCCTTTTGATTTCAATATGATCGTTGAGCCTACTCCCGCCAACGAAGAAGAAGACCACCAAGTTTGAACTTCAGCAATCCACTCCGTTTCGTTAAACGCAGTCGTCTCACCTGCTCCTTTTTTTACCCTTCGTTTTCTTTTCTGTCAAGATAGCTTTTTGTTTCCTTTTCAAGCAAACCAACAAATGTATCCAGCTTGCTATCTTGTTTTCTTCAGTCTTTTTTTTTATGTATATAAGAACCACTAACATCAATGAGAAGACTCAACCACAACAATCTAGATTAACACCAAACAATCTTTTTAAAATAACGGACTGTTTGGGTCCTCGACAACAGCGCAAAAAACTTGACTTGTTCTGAATATCACAATAAAGCTTTCAATTAGGGCACAAGCATAAACTTTAATTGGGTGTAATATAGAGCAAATATGTTTAAATATCAACCCGGGCCGGTTTGTATACCCCTACTTCGATTGTTTGAAATATTATCTAGCGATTGGTTGTTTGATTGAAAACTACGATCTACTATTAAAACGGTTGTAAAAGTAATTGGTTTTGACTCTTAAATGAGAAGGATTCACCCGGGGTAGCTCCCCCTAACTCGCTACCATGACTTGTCGGAATGACTGAAAATGTATGGTGGAGGTGATTGAGAACCGTAAGGGAAGTGTCGCTAGTGATGAAACATCACTCTCTCGGTCTCTAGGACAAGGAATTCGGATTAAGTTACCAAGTTAGCTCTCTTGGCCTAATCGACTAAGGACTACCAAATCTTCACTCTCGAATCAGAATTCGGACGACCAAAACACAATCAACATAGGTGCCAATACAAATAAGGAGGGATGTCCTACATTAACCTAGATAGGAGACATGATGGGCCTGACAAAACCCAGCTTTACAAGCCTCTTTAACAAAAGGGGGTTTTCTCTCTACCTAGGTTAGAATGTCAAATAGATTGATAGGCAAACACACAACACAATCTTCCATGAAAATACCTCCAAATTCATATTAAAACACACCCCACACATAGACAATTGACACGCTAAAACACAACACCAAACTACGACCAAGTGTAATCGCAAGTTCGGAAATGCAGTAAGTGGCAAGCTCTATTTGTCAACCCGGAGCCTAGATCTACTGCCTACTCCGTGATTATTTATTATCTAGCAAACTAAGTCGAGTGATTGTGATTTAACTAAAAGCAGTAAGAAAGCTTGAAATTGTTCGGTTTTCTAAAGCAAGGGAAGAGTCACTCGGGAATGAGCCCCCCTAGCTCCTTAGTTTGGTCACAGTTGTAATTACTTTTGGTTGCTTTACTGTTGATTATACTGTGGAAGATCCGACAGTAGCTTGGAATCTCTTAAGCTGACCAAGCCCTCTCAGTCAAACTACTCGGCAGACGACTAGTCTTCACCGGGATAGAAAGCTGAGGCTATGAACACAGAACTCCACTAGTGGAACTGCATTCCAGTACAAAGCAGTAAATCGACTAACTATCGTATAATCGATTCACTACTACCGATTGAAGAAGCTCTAACAACCTAATCAGATTCTATCTATCTCAGGTTGCAGCAGAAACCAATAAAAGATGATCAGGCTTCAATTGACTCAATCAAAACACTTCAATCGATTATAATCAAACAATATCACAATCCAAACGTCGTTACAACAATGATCCATAACACATAGAACTAGGGTTCTTCATACCCAAGTGAGAGGGTTCTACTCTATAGAGAGAGAGGGAAACAGCAAACAAAGCAATCATACTCATCAAGATGGGAAGAATCTGTTATGGGATGATGATCTTCACTCCAATGATGATTTCCAAGCTTGATTGATGAATCCCAGCTCCAAAATCACTCTTAGGGGGTGTTCTTAGCACTTTCTCTCTCTAGGGCTTTGCTTTTTGCTCTGGAAAATCAATTTTCTCTCCTTAGGCTCGAAATTGTGTTAAAACCCATAATTTCCCGACCACACGGCCAGGCCACACGGCCGTGTGTCTTCCCAGTCTGCCCGTGTGAGTGCCAAAATGCGGCGTAGCATCTAATGAGCTTCATGCACGCTGCACGGCCAGAAGTGCACGGCCATGTGGAATCTCGGTCTGATCGTGTGAACTCCCTGGAATTTCCACACGGCCTCAAGGGACCCAATACATGGCCAGTGTGGCTTGCCCGCGTAATGGGATTCCACACGGCCACACCACACGACCGTGTGGCTGCTAGGTATGGCCGTGTGGATTCCTCAGCTTCTCGCCAAACGTCCAACTTTCGTCCAATCGACCCGAAACTCGCTCTCAAACCTCCAATCACATACTAGGACCTGAAATAACACAAACGAGAACAACCTAGCATGAAATCGGCCTAAGATACGAGAAATGAGGCTCAAACGACATAAGAATGGTGGATAAGAACATGTGTATATATCAAGTCATCAAATTACCCCACACTTAACCGTTTGCTTGTCCCCAATCAAACCAAGTAAGATACAAGGTAAGCTCAACACATTTCAATCATACCAACTTTGGGGACAAATCATATAGGCACAGAACACGTGAATCATACTGGCTTTTGATCATTGACATATGGACAACTCAACAGCAACCTAGACAACCACCACAGAGGACATTCGAGTGCAGCAAAATCGGGTAAAGGAAGAGGAATCCTTTCTGTTCACCAACCAACATAGACTTGACTCAAACACTTGACTAAGACAGTCATCGCATGCATCAAACTCAAGACATCATAATCAAGACTGAGCCATCTAGGTCCTCACCGGGGTAAAGAGCATAAAGAACAAGGGAATGAATCGCTCACTCTCGACCAGTGGGGTCAGGACAATTTGACGCGAAAAATGTGCATGCTTATTCTCTCCAATCCTAACGTCTCTTCACCATGATGGCAGCCTCTAAATGTTAGAGTTCACACAAGGAATGTCACCACTAACTAATCCGGAGGTCTTAGACACAGGTTCAAGTGACTGGCTAGGGTCTTGGACATGGGGAAAAAGCCTTTTAAGTGGTGGAAGTATTCAAAGCACAAGGTTCCACAGTTCCAAACCCAACACATTCACAGCCAATCAAACCAGTAACTTTCTTTCTGCCATTCTGCATTACTCAAATTCTCTAGAGCACAAGAGCGAAGGAGGTCACAATAATGTTAGTGTTTCTAAGCCAGACTGCTAAGAAACACTACTTAATGAGCACGATTCAGATTTTTTGTAGTAGTTCTCTTTTGCTTTCATTCATATTTTTTTCTTCTCTTTTTTTTTCCATTTCTTGATAGAACCACCACCTCTGCACATTTTTCAAACACATGCCCAATTTTTAAGCATTAACTCCACCCGCACATTATATTTATAAAAAATAGCAGAGAACATGCAAAAACCACTCTGTGGAACCTTCTAAGAGATTAAAAAGGGTGATTTTCCATTGTAGACGGAAAGAATGAAAAGTACACGGCTCAAAGGGGCTGACTAGGGGGTATGACACACCAGGATAGTCAATTTGGTCGTGGGCTATTCATATGCCTCCATCATCTCAGCTAGTGATAACGTGAATGCTGCACATCATGGAAGAGGGATCTATCGCACAAGAAAGAAACAAGCAGGCTCAAATCTCACATGGCTACCTATATTCTCTATCTCTCATTCCGATTCCCTGAACTAGATGCATAAACGACTGTCAAGAGCAAGTGATCAATCCAAGTCACAGTTGGTAAGCAAACAGTTGAAAAACTGATCCCCCTACACAATTCTACTGCACGTCTCAGTCATCATTATAGGTTGTCTCAGTCACAATCCAGTTATCATGCATCAATTCTAACAGCCATTCGATTCATCAATTAAACCACAGTGCCAATACGTCAAGCAAACAACAGTACTTGGAGCCCTCAAATCTCAAGATTTGGACACCGGACTAGGCTCCAAGCACACATATATACATTCCAATAAATACAAAGCACCCCCCACACTTAAGTTTGACATTTCCCTCAATGGACCAGAGGGAAGGGGAACGATGTTACCGTGAAATAGTGGTCAGGAACGGTGACTGGAGGGCGGACTGGAAGGGGACCAGTCCAAGGCCCAGAGCTAAAGTCATCAAAACACACACAGGGTGAAAGAACCGGGTTCCATGTGGACAAACCGAAAACAAACGAAAGGAAAACAAACCTTGGTGGGGTTGCCTCCCCACAAGCGCTTCTTTACTGTCTTTTAGCTGGAAGCCAGTAGGGTGGATGCTCAGAGAGGTGTAGGAACAAGTGCCTTCAGCTCAAACCTCCTTTTATACCCATGTCGGGCTCAAATCACGGTCCCAGTTCACGACCGTGAGCTCAAGGTGGGGACCGTGATATAGGGCCAAAACACGCTGCTTCACTAACTCAGTTCACGATCTTTGGCTTGGGTTCAGGGTCTTACGACCGTTAACTGAATTGACTCCAGTGAGATCCCAAAATGGCTCTAGACTCCTAGCGGTTCACGGTTTGCGGTTCCAGTTCACGGTCTCCCTGACCATGAACTCACTGCTTCCACCGTGATCTGTTGCTGCCTCCATCCTTTGATCCAATTTTGTGCCTTTTCGTCCAACTTTCGACTCTATGGTTGGTTCCACCTGCTATAGATTGAAATACACTAAAACGAAACAAAAGCTAGCGTAAAACCAACCTCCCGGAGTATAAATGCCTCAAACGACTAAGGAAACCGGGGTAAAAAGTGTACAATTAAGACCGAATCAGTTATCCTCGATTTACTTTCTGTGTTTGTTTATTTTGTAGCTTTCTTAGTTTTAAACCCAAAATCGTTTGCTAGATAACAACCTAAGCGATTGAAGTAGGGGTACATGGAATGACCCGGGTTTGAATACTACAACATACTTGCCCTGTACTGCACCCAACTAGAGTTTATGCTTGAGCTATAGTCGGGATTTAAATCGCGGTGTAGTCCGTGCGAGTAAGTTGGGTTTTGTATAACAACAGAGACGAAAAAGAATGGGTGAAGTTAAAGAATGTGATAGTTATAGAAAATAGAAAGGGTATTGACGGAAAAAATCTTCGTAAATGAAAGATTCTAAATCTCTAGTTTTAACATAGATAAGATATCTTTACTATTTAAAAATTTAAAATATCTAAACTTAGAATCTCGCATATTAGTTGTAACAAAAAATAAGGCTTTCTTTAAATCTCTAGATTGAACGAATCCATATCCTAAATTTTGTTCTCCAAACAATCCCTTAATCTCATATTTTGGATTGTTTTTGTATTGCTTGGGACTTGGGAGAGATCTTTGGATTCTATTAACATGAATGTAACGGTTAAGAAAGCTTTTTGGCACTCCATATTCATTAAAATAGGTTGCTAACGTTGTACTAGAGCTACTAGCTTGTCATTCGTGGACATAGCTTGAGCAAAGAACGACCCTTGCTCTTTATATAGAGTCCTTGCACCAAACCCAAGTGGTATCGAGTTAGGTTTCTTCACCCAATTTGAATTGGATGAAACTTGATTCGGGTCTAAATGCACACATTTTACTCCTCATTTTTTGATAGTTTGACTTTGCATTTCATCATCTCTCGATCTATTTTATGCTAGTTTGTGCTTGTTTGGTCATATTTCATGTCCTAGCACGTGTAGAAGGGTCGGGGACGAGTTTCGGGAAGATTGGAGTTGAAACGCGCCAAAAAGTGAAGACAAAACCAAAGACTGAGACAATTGCCCCAAGACCGTGAAGTGCGGAGGTTCCATAACAGTTTGCCATCTCACTGGAGCCCCACCAGTTCACGGTCGCAAGACTGTGAAGTGACTTAGTGAAACGTTGCGAATATGCTAGACTTCACGGTCCAAGACGAATGTTCACGACCGTGAACTGGGACCGTGAACTGGGACCGTGAACAGGCGTTGATCTGGGTATAAAAGGGGAAGTGAGTTGAAGGAAAAGGAGGAGATCTTTTGGTAGAGTTTTAATTTTCAGAATGAAGGAGGATTTCTAGTGAGAGATTAGGGTATACTCTTCTTATTCTAGAGAGAGAAAGTGTCATTCAAAGGAGGAAGAAGGAGATTTGGGCTTTCCCTAAGCTAGAGGATTGAAGGTTTCTTCTTCTCAAGGGAGATTCAAGCAATAAGGAAGGAAGATTGGCATCTCTTTATGGTTCTTTCTTTCTTTTTTCTTGATTTCCTTTGCCTAACTATGGAATAGCCTACCTAGGGGTGGGCATTAGGTTCGGTTTTACCGAACCGAATCGTACCGAACAAAAACCGACCGAAACCAAAATGCAGACAATTAGATTCGAAATTCGGAAATGGATATGGTGAATTTCGGAACACAGACTCATTTGAACCGAACCGAAATACCGAACCAACCGACCGAATTCTGAAATTTGTAATCTTCCAAGTCCCCAGGCCCCAACCCAACCCAATCCCATTGCCCAGCGAAGCGCTCCAGGCCCAGCCCCCAGGACCGAGCCAATACTCGGCACTCAGCCCAACCAACCGTGTACCTCCAGCCCACTCCGATGCTACTCACTGATCAGGCCTTAGGGCCTCAGGCCCTCCTCCTCTCCTCTACCTCTTCGTTACTTCGTCCAGCTCCAGTCCAAGACAAACATCCAAAATTCCAAATCTCCTTCCTAGCTAACCCTAGAGAAAGGCGATTGCTTGCCGGCTGCCGCTACCCCAGCCGAAATCGCGACGCAAACTCGCAAAGGGAAAGGGAAGTAGGGAAGCTGGGAAGTGGGAATGAAAGGAAGAAGGCGGCGAGCCCTAGCAGCCTGACCTCCAGTCTCCAGATGTTCACTCCACTCCACTATCGTCTGCCTCTGCCCGACGCCGACCTCGTCTACGCGTCCCGGCTCCGACCTCGTCGACCCGTCCCGCCACCCGCCGTCGCCGAGTCTCCCCGACCGTCACTAACTCACACAGTCCGGCAGTCCCTCCCACTCAGGCAGCAACCTATTGTCAAAAAGGCAGCAGCCTATGCAAAAAATGCAGCGACCAAAAATGGGCAGATATATATTTTCAGTTTGTAGTATAAAACCGAACCGAACCGAGTTATAGTTTGGTTCGACCAAACCGAACCAACTATAGCTCGGTTCGAATTCGGTTGAGGGAAGCTGTGATTCGGAAATTCGGGGTATGCCAGTTTGGTTCGGTTCAAACCGAACCGACCGAACGCCAACCCCTGAGCCTACCTCTTCACTTGGGTGTTGTGAACCCTAGTTTGAAATATGTGATATATTGTAAGGATTGAATGCTATGTGTGTGGGTTTGTGTTTAACGCAAAGTTTGAGGTATTTTCATGATGCTTGGGTTGTGTTCTTCATTTCTCATTATTATGCCAATTTGACTTAGGTAGAGGGAATTCCCCTTTTTGTTAGGAGAGCTAGACTCCCTAGTTTATTGTAGCAATCCTTAATCCATTGATTGAGAGAGTTAAGGTTCCTAGTTTAATTATTTTCCTTAACCGATTGATTAAGAGAGTGAGGTTTCCTTCACTTGTTGCACTTCCTACGGTTTATTAACACATCTCCACACATTTGCATTCGATTTTGGCGATCTTGATATGTACTAGAGAAAACAACAGCTGAGTGAACTCTTCTTTCATTGGAACAACCTCGATTTACTTTACTTGCTTGTTTTCATTTGTAGTTTTCTTAGTTTTAAACCCAAAAACGTTTGCTAGATAACAAACTAAGCGATTGAAGCAAGGGTCCATGAAACGAACCGGGTTTGACAATTAAAACATACTTTCTTTACCATCCCAATTTGCACCAATAAGGTATGGTGCATTACTCGTGTTATCTTAAGATAGTCAGCTAACCAATGATCTCGAGACCAGCACTTACATTTTCCACTTAAACCCCTCGCCTGTCAACCCGACCACCCACTGAAGTTAACATCAATTCATTCTCAACGACTAGGAATGCCACAAAATTATGAACCCTCGAACTGAGTGCACTGATAAAGATAAGAGAGAGGGATGATATGTACAATACTATGCAATGAAAGATCAACGTTAAGAATAGTTGTACATAATAGTATACATGATACACCGAATTGCTCTACTGTAGCTCTAGAATCAGCCAATGGTTCGATAAAACTCTAGACTCTTTATACAGATCTCTCCATCTTTTCCCCTCCTAGAAACTTCCATTCTTGGCTGAAGTAATGTAGTTCTTTTTCTTTTTGTAAGGTCAGAAGTAATGTAGTTCATTGTGAAAGAAGTTGCACTAAAACCCGGGCAAGACTGAGAGGTCTGCTATGCCTCTTGGAAGGTCCGCGATTCTCTTAAGTAGAGCAAGCCTGTTTTTTCGTATGCTTTCATCTTCCTGCTCTCATCCAATTGCCAAAAACGACAATGAATCACTAAGATGTAAAATGCGACACCACAACAATTGACAAAGCTCTCACAACTTTATGCAGGAAACGTACCACCATGACGAAGACATTATTGAAGAAATCCTCAAGTGGCTGTAACAGCTCCGCAGAAATTTCAATAAATTCATCAACCTCGATACCTGCAACATGATGAGCTTCATGTCATGCCCGCTTAAAAAAAACAACAAACAAGCTACATCTAGGAGCTCCTTGCAACACCACAACTAGAAGATAGGCAAGAACGATAACAAGTTCTGAAATGCGGCAAGAGTACCAGGGTGAATTTTGCTTCTCGTCGACAAGAAAGCATTCCACAAGCCTCTCTCTTCATTTGTCTCGAACTTCGTTTCATCCACCTATCAGAACAAAGAACAAAGGGATATCATATATGTCACTGATCTCCAACTTCTTCGTTTATGAATGATGTGTATCGATTTCACGCATTCATATACAACAGAAGATGTGCATCAACAACGACAAAATGAGTCATGTGCAAGAAAGAACAAAGAAGAATTGAGATTCTAAGATGCAATAAAGAAACAGGAAATTCAAGTTCATATACTATCAGAGGGAAGCAGACACACCTCATAACTCGAATCATAATCCTTTCCTCGCACTATTCTTGTTGGACGAGAATACACTTCAACCACCCTAGGAAAAAGATGATCTTCTGACAACGCTCGCATCTGGGGGGAAAAATAATTATTTACTCCGTAATCTATCACCTGACAGCTTTTTTTATTGAAAACTGATTGGCAACTCATTTTTTTAAGGGTGACAAATTAGTTTTTATTATTAGGTGATATTTAAGGATTTAAACATGGACCTCCAGGTTGAAGACCAAACCCTTGTTCGCACTTCTGCTCTTCGAAAAATTGTAATAACGGAAATAATCGAACATAATAGTGATGCTAAGGAGTGATAAAGCAAACTCACTTTGAATGCTGTTTTTGCGGCGACATAAGGAGAGTTCCCACGCTCAGCCAGTACTGAACGGACTAATTCAGGACTTATTCCCTTGTCAACCTGGCGGTCATAATAATAGTTTTATATGAAGAAACTATCAGGAAAAACAAACATTATGGTAATTAGGAGAAAATTATAATCCGAGATTGCACAGTTACCAAAAATTGCTCTAGTCTTCGAGTAACAAATGCATGTGCCTGAGACCAAGACAGAGTTCAGCTGTCACATTCTCATATCAATTTCTTCTTTCGGGTACTCTTACGTCCACATTCAAATAAAGTGATCCTAATGACCTCATGAAAGGAAATCAAGGTTTTAGGGATGTAGTAAAATTTTAAGCATAGATACCAAGGAGACATTCAATTCAAAAATGGCTTGGAGAATGCCATGACAATAAGCTATTTTTTCACACTCCAGAAACGAATCGTTATCTAGTTGAAAGAGAGAAAAACCCAAAATCTGAAGCAAATCTTGCATTCTTGTCACGCCTGAGCTGTTAAAAGATTGTAAATGGGTAGATTTTGATGGTTTTGTACCCAGAGCCATTTATTTGGATTGGGTTGGATCTTTAATCCATGGATTTGTACACCTACTCATTTGCAAATTACAATTTGGCACCTAAATTTAATAGGTCTTTAGATTTAGTATATAAATTTAAATTTTTTTGCATATAAGTCCTCATCATATTGATGGAAAGTACATTTTAGTACCTAAATTTTTTAAGTTTTACAAATAGGTCCAATTTTTGTATGTGTAGTAATAACACCCTCAAATATAGGGGTCTCTATACCCAACTCATACCCATTTACATTACGGAAGCAATATTCATACCCTACCCATAATCAATGGGTTTATTTGGGTTTGGGTAAAATTACCCATGGGTAATTGCCATCCTAGTTGTAAGGAATCATCAGGGGTTCTCTCCCTATAAGCAGCTCCTTCACTTTCCTAGGTGGGTCGGAGGACACAAATTCTTTAAAAAACGATCCACAATCTGGTCCATTAAAAAACTACTTGATTCCTCGTGCACAATATTTGCATTTTCTGCTCCATCTAATGAGTGTCAGAGAGAATGAAAAATTGACAATACTCACATCATCTATTATTTGAGCATCCACGTGTAATGGTTGCACAGCAGCAGCAAGTTTTATAGCATGAAGCAAATCCAAATTTTTCTCTCTTTCTACTAATATTTGAACCTGCAAAACAGAAAGAACACACTTAATTTACAAAAAAAAATTCCTTTTTAATGAGTGAAGATGACAGATTGTTCTTACCAGACCATACGAGATTCTTCTCAGGCCAAATTGGTCATTAGTAGAACTAGGCTGGCATCCAGCAGCAAATAAACCCACAAGGCTGTCCAATCTGCAAGGGAACGTAAAAATAGAAGAGCTCAGCCAAGAGGCCGATAATTGCCTAGCAAGAGAGAAAACATAAAATATGAAGTACATACAGAAGCAGGAACGCGGTTCATATAACAGTAATTGGATGCTTTTAATAATTCTGTCTGAAAGCAGATATTTCAATCCTCTTCAGCAATGAATGAGCAAGGCTAAGACCAGAGACTCAACAAAGATATATACGATAAACAGAGTACATCCATATTTCACCTGTCAGCAATTGCTAAAACAATGCCTGCATCGCTTTTCGGAACGTTATCCCCAGAAAATCTTGGAAGTGTGATTTCTAACAATGCCTCTGCAATCTGCTACAACAGAAAGCATGAAGCACAAGAAGTTAATTTCAGCATCAACAAATGCAGTACCAGGAAATAACTCCACTGAAGAAGACATGAGACTCGACCAGTGTAAACAAAGGGATAAAAACATGTCAAGAAGCAGAAGGATTAGACATGGAAAGTGCTCGATCAAGAGTGCATCACCTGCTCTGAGTATCCATCCCTTAGAGCATAGTGACGTGCCATTATTCCCGAAAGGCCAGTGAATTCCGTTACTACTGCAGTAGCAAGGTCTGACATTGCTAGTGATGCAGCATCCTTCACAATTTGAAGCATATCTTTCGCGATACCCAACTCCAAACCCAAGTTTTCAACAAGGTTTTGCAAGCGTACCACCTTGTCAAGCATTGTTCCAAGCTTCTCCTGATTTATTAAGTGTGAAGAGAAGAGTACAACTTCCATCAGAGAAGGAACAATCTCTCATAGAAACTTCTCAAGCAGTACCAACTGGTCAGCCATCATAATGAATCCCAGACCTCCGTAAAAAAATGGCACACCGCTTGCATGTCAAAGTGGAAAGCATTCTATGGCGTGCCATTTTGACTACAATCTAGCTAGAAAATGTAAGTGAAGAACTCAGCTTTCCATTTCTTATAACTGGCTGCCATCTGCAGACGTCTCCTGAAAAATTGCAGGTATTGTAAGATAGGCAAAGACAACTTACATGAAAAAGTATCCCTTTCAGCTGACTTTGAAACTCTGAGAATTTCCTTCGAGTATCCATCTCATAGAAAAATTTAGCATCTTCATACCGTGCTCTGGTAAATTAATGAAACCATCATGAGACCCTTTTTCGTTTTTATGATTAAAAAAAACTTTAGGTTAATAATAGTTTCTTAATTAAGAGTTCATGCTATACCAGTGTTACAAGTTTAGGTGTATTGAGCATGTATTGAAGAAAGATATTTCGGAGCATCACCCATCATTAAGGATACATCAACCATTCCTTTGACGCAGCAAAAATATGGAAAATTAAGAAAGATTCACATTAACCTAAGCACAGCTTCATTCCCTTCTCTAACCACCAGCTCGTTTATTGGCCCATTTGCGACCTGTTATGAAGCCCGGTCACTATAATTCGAAGCAAAAAACAAATGATTTGTAAAATTTGGTCAATCTGGGTTTACTGCGATAAAGTATGGAAGTAGCTTTCCACTGTCATCAATGATTGCAAAATACTTCTGGTGCTTCTGCATGACCTGCACAAGTTATGCATATTGGTTAAAACTCGGTTACAAAACCCAAATTTATCCTTGCAGCAGCATCAATCTCTAAATTCATTCTAAACAGGTTCCTCAAGATTAAAATCAAGATTTGACCAGAGCTTCCCTTGAAGAACCAGGCATTATAAAACTCATATCAACAACAGCCAAACATTGCGTATTTTCCCTGAAGACCAAATTTTGATTATTTTAAAGCTTCTTTAAGACAATGAAAAAACATGTGGATAGAATGCCCGCTAACTTCTACGAAAAGACGATTGTTACTACAATTCACGCCTCTTCAAACACTATTCGGACGAGAATGTTTGGTGTATGGGTAACCTACATTACATTATACTACTCCTATGGAGATTTCTTGAGAGATCCATAGTTTGTGGTGTTTTAATAGAAAATGTTGTTTGGATGATAACGGGTTGGATGATAACATGTAGGATACAAAAATACCATTCACCAAGTGTTTGGATGATGTCCATGATAGGGTTGGATAGTTTTCATAAAATGGAATGGTTTCGTCCAACCTCTTAATGGATGGTGTCCATGAAATGTGATGATATCATCCACTTGGGGATCGGATAATATTCATGACACGAAATGGTCACCATAAATTCAATTACTATCCAGCACAATAAGGCCTAACCAGACCATCAAGACAATCCATTATGTATGTGCCCACATCAAAGATAGTTTGTGGTGTTTTAATAGAAAATGTTGTTTTGATGTAAACACTAACAACAGAATAATGATTTCCTCCTTTCTGCACATAATTTTTGGAGTTTTAGAAGCAAAACTCAGTATCAAATTCATATAGTTCATCGTGAGAACTGCCTCACGGGTGAAATAATCAAGAATTTAACATCAAGAAACAAGGAATGCAGAACAGTAAGACTTCACAAAACTGTAGCAGCTACGAAAGAACCCAGCTCTGGACCAAATAATACCACATATTATGTTATATATTGGATTCCAAAATGCTTAGACAAAACTATGCTCTCGTCTCTCAAACAGTGAGTATCACATATTGTGATTTTAACCAAGCGCTATAAAGTCAATTCACATAAGATTGTTGTTTTGGTAGAAACACAATCCAGGGATTAAGGCCTCTAATGTCTAGAATCTTACCATTTTCAAAAGATCGTCTGGGAGCTCCAAGAATGACTCTTTAAACTTTCCAAGCACCGCTACTGGTGCCTCAACAAGATTTACTACCTAAAGAAGCACAAACAATATTAGTCATCCGTGTCTGCTTATCTTAACGGACTTCATAAGGGAAGGTAACTCCATCACCTCGCTGAGTAAATTTTCCTGCACAAAGATATGACCATTGACACTTTTTGCCAACATATTAGACTGCTCCAAAATGCTTTCCTTTCGACCCTGTAGGGTAAAGCATAGTATCATAAAAGTTTTAGTATATATGAATTTCTCATTGCTGAAGGTCTTCATCCAATTCAAGAGAGCTAGAAGAAATAAGGATTTCAACCAATACCTTTATTGCAATATTAATTCCAGCAGTCATCAACGCGCTTGCATAGGATTCAGCACTCAAAACCTGTAAAAAAAAAAATTAATGTCTATCATAATCATGATAAATAACCACAGTATGAGCAAATGATCTGTAAGACTATGCTTCGATGGCAAAATAGAGACTGAGTTGGATGATAAGAACTGGAGAAACTTTTGAAGAAACATGGTCCCAATTCCACATCATCTCATCTCCAAATCAGCTTGTGAACTTCTTAGCAACAACCAAAAGATGCAAGTATGGCCCTCTCTGTTCAGATTTTGAGCAACTCAAAAAGTACCTAAAAGTAAATTAGGTCTGAGTAACAAGCTAACTCGGGAAAAGATAACATGTTTAGCTTTAGCATATACCTGAATTATAGCTGAAGCGGTATTGCGAAGGCCATACGATAGCTTTCCACTGCAATCATGCATGGAGAGGCTTCAGGATAACTTTTTGTCTTGCATACAACCACATATTGAAGAGACAAGAAACAGTAACAGAATAACTATTCCTCAGTTGGAATGAGATTGTATGGCGTAGCACTGTTCAAATTAACTGAAAGCCTTGCTTGCTCCGAGGCAATTTCACTAGGCACTAGGGTGATCATTCAGTAGCACAGACAATGTCCATCAAATAGACTGCTGCAACACTTGATCATATGGCATCTAATTTTTAGAACTAATGCATCAGGGTCCTTGAAACAAGGCTTACATATGGCAAATATCAGAACAATACCATATATATCAACAAATGGTTAACAAAATGGGGTGCCAGTAACAAATTACTTATGTGTCTGGCCGTAATAAGTAAGCTAGTTCAGTTAAGTGATAGGAAAACAGAAGAGAATGAGCATGTAATCCCTGTTACCTTAAAACTCCAGCAAATGTGAAAGGAACCAGAATGTCTCCATGCAAGGCCATAATCCAACGAACAGGCCGACTGAACATAACCTACAGGAAAGATAGTTCTCATAAGATAACAATGCATGTTTAAAATTGGGAGGATAAACTAAAAGTTTAGAATGCATCAAGAGTGAAGCCAACATGCAGTACCTGAGAGTTCCAACGCATGGACTTTGGGAATGATAATTTACTGATAATACCAGGCAACTCTTCAGATAAGATCTACAAGTCCCAGGGAAAAAAAAATGATCACCACATGCGATTAAATAATGAAAAACAAAGCCTGATATATCATCAAAGGATGCTTTGCTTAACAATTAATACAGATCTGCATGTTTTCCTACCTAGTTCCTACCATAGTACAAGGATAATAAATACATTGACATCAACATTAATACATAACAACCTCTGATGTCAGTCGTGCAGCTTCCTTCACATGGATATGAACATACTCTGTTTTCCCTGTCAGATAAATAAACAAATAAGTCACACTAATTATGATCAATAATCAGGCAAATTATGTGGAACAAGATTCTGATTATGAATTCAACTGTGTTTAGTAAAACAATAAAGCACCATTTTTTACATAAATATAGACAATATTTCATCAGTTTTCTCCAAAACAATGGGGACGTTTGGTATTGGTGATAGTTTGCTTGGGATAGTTACAATACATGCATTGTCCACAATTCATCGATTTTTGAATTTTTTACACAAACAATACATGCATTATTTGCTTGATTTGACACAAACTATCACTCAAAATGAGTGATAGTTAAATCTCAAGTTTTGGTTGAGAATGTTTGGTAAAGATTGTTGAGTTTTCTTTTGTTCCAATTATGTCACAACTTTTTTATGTGTTGGTTTTTTAATATTAAAAACAAAGGGTAAAAGTGACATTTTACCTAAAAAGTAATATAACTTATTTAAATATTAAATATTTCAATAACTATCACAGAAACCAAACGATGTAAACTACAATACACCAATTTTCATTTATACATGTATATTATTATGCATGCATTAATGACAATGAATTAATTTAAATATCTCTAAAACCAAACGACCCAAAATATTCATATTTAGGCATATTCTTCTAAACGTAGTGCTCATCAAATTTTTTGATAAATGACCCTTAACAACTTTAAGATAGTGAAGCCACCACAACCAGTCTATAAGCGACTGCAGGCTGGAAATAAATTTTCTTTTACGAGAGCAGACTGGAAATCATTCAAAGCCCAGAAGTCATGCGATAATCTGACTCACCATCAACCTTCCTAAATAGTGAGTCCAGAGACACATTGTATCTACGGCAAAAACCCTCAGCGGCCTGGTAGCAACAAAAAAAAAACACAAGATAAATGTTATACCACCAGTCGATAATGATACAGAAGATGATGGAAGAAATGAGCAATGATATGCAGTCAACTAAGTGCCCGAAGAAGTGAAGCAGCATTTGCCCAATAACACTACAAACAGAAAAGCGTAAAAGAAAGGAAGATATGAAAGAACTATTTCTACAAAGGGTGGAGAACCACAAGAGAAAATATTGGTTCAATATGAAACAAAAATGCTCAGAGTTTGTCATTACTTCTTTTATGTGATAAAAATATAAGCCGAAGGCCACACAAGCCTCAACTCAAATGATGAACAATATATACCTTTGTAGGTTTTCCCTGCCCATCAAAAGCCTTTGAAACGGGGGGACCCCGAACCTCAATCTCCCTTTCAGATTGCTTAGTGCAAAGGTTCTCCACAAATATCTGGTAAAATGCATAAGTAGGCTGTGATATAAATCCATAAAGGAATTTCACACACAAAAAAAGAAAAGAATGAAAGATGTACAGTAAAGTAGCTAACAAATTATCCCGGTTGCTAAGACAACCAGAAAACACCAGTTGTAGGCAGACAAAGGTGGCTGCATCATATTATTTTCCAATTGATTGATAGGATGTAAGAATTGTTAAAATCAATACTGTATATGTAGCCCTACAGCACTGATTTTGAGAACAGGAAAATCAAAAATCTTGCTGCCCTTATTGCCAGCAAAGATGTGACGCAAGCCATGAATAGCACATTAAGTGAGCAGGAACTTTTATAGCAATACCACCAATCTGCGAGGAGTGCCAAATGCTTGAATTTTCCCATGGCCCAATCTCTGTTTATCTAGCAATTGAAGTAGTAAACCTTCAAGCTGTAGAGTGAACAAACACAAGGGGCATCATTAGGTGTATCTTAACAATTACAATGGAGTAGAGTAAACGGATAATCATACAAACTCATAACCCAAAGAGTGAATGAAAAATATGGAAAATCAAAGAAGTTAAATTTCATGTTATAGCTAATGTTCGCACTAATTTCCAAAGTAAGGGTGAGTTGGAGCAAAATAGAAGCTGCTAAAAGGCATGTGTATTCTACAGGTATCAACTAAAGGGGGTCTATGAAGTGGAGTGTTTCAAGATCCTGGCTTCGCATAATGATTAATAGTACCTGCTCGCCGCCATAAGTAACATCAAGAGGAGGTAACTCTTCAGTCCCAATTTCGAGTACAAATGACCTTGTGTCATCAAGAACCTGCTTCGAAAGGAAAACAGAAACAAATGAAAGCAAACTTGTCACGTCTGAATGCTCATGCATACATCTCTTAAGAAAAAGTTAAACCCAAAAGCCTGAGCTATTGAGACTGAGGCAGTTCATACTGTGTATCCTATTTTTCTATTTCAATTTGGAAAACTCCATCAATGAAATGCCCACCATGCCCGAAGTTAATGTAGAACTATCACAACCAAAATTTAGTAAAACGAATCACGTGCAATCCACCATTACAATCGCATTCCAACATTACATTCATTCTTAAAAGTCCGTTGACAAAATAAATGATATCTTTTAAAAAAAAAACATGTGTGCGACAATACATGGCTACCAAATGACCTCCTAATAGTTGATGCTGGAAGTTATAAAAGATTGGCCATCAAAATCTCCTGGCAGTGACGTCCTACAAAAGACCCATTCCCTGAAAGTTCAAAGACTGATAACTGAATAGAAATTGTTCTGGCATACGTCAAGTTGCACCTGAAGTTGGACAATTACTTTTCATTATATACGCCATTAACCTATTCAGCTTTACATGTGTATGTTGGGAAGTAAGTAAATGTGTGAAGGGTGGATTGATGCCAGTGAGAGACCTAATAGATCATGACTGTCAGCGTTAAATCATCAAACATCAACTATCCACTGGTCAGCTAAACAATTGGCACGAGAACAGCATAAAATGGATCCTAGTAACATTAGAAACTTGGTCAAAATGAAATTAAGAAATGAAAATAAGAAGGTTAAAGAATAGAAGACAGTAATTGAAGTGAACACGGAAACAGATCTCCAAGGTACAACAGACTAACCGTCTTGGTCTCTGCCTCCAAAAACGGTTGAGTAGAGGTAGAATGAGCAGGTTCAGAAACAGTACCCAACGGATAGCCCAGTGACTCCCTGGTTGTCGACCAAAGTTGAGCACACTGGCGAGCTAAACTGATAAATCATCAATGAATTAGTAGATTTCATAGTATTGAACCAATGGCATATATCCCAATTCTTATTTTCTTGTAGCCACTAGCTAAACAACATAACTAGACATCATTCTTTGAAAATGATGTGATGATTAGAGGTTGAAGTGGCACACTTAGGCGTCAGAAATATAAAACCCTAAAGCTGCTAGCCCTCCCCGTAAAAATGGGAAAGATAAAGTAGTGCAGAATGCTTGATTTCCACTTCCAACTCTATGAGAAGCCGAAAGGTTCATCTTACTTAAGAATACATAACTCACCTACGCATTCGACCAAAATAACGAGCACGCTCAGTCACACCAACAAATCCTCTAGAGTCCAAAATATTGAATGTGTGAGATGTCTTCAGAAGCTGATCATACCTAGTAGGACAAGCGAACGTCACATTTGCTAAACACAGAGCAAGAGAAAGTTATCCAGGTGTATGCAGATAAGCAGACATCTAGTTCAGTAAGCTCAAAGGAAGAGAAACTGATAGGGTGTAAGATCAAATGAAACGTAGCAAAAACTTACGCGGGAATGGCCAAACCTAAAGCAAGCAGAGAACGAGCTTCTGCCTCAAAAAGATCAAAGTGATTATGAAGCTGATGAACACTGGCATGTTCCAAGTAATACGCACTCATTTCCTTCCTGAAACAGAGAGGATCAATGATCAAACAAGCTTTCCGAAAATTATAAAGAGGAATTTGCATCTAAGATGGAGGCCTGCTAGTAGAATAAGATCAAGAAAGGGGGACTTTGTTGGAATCAAGAACGTCAGATATTGAGTTGGTAATGAATGCAGAAGCATAAATAAAATCAGGGAGATAGAAGGAAGAATAGATGAAAAATGTACTTCAAAGAAAAAAGGTATATAATTCAGAAATGGAGAAAATTTGTTAACTTACTCATTTTCAGAAAACAACTCTCCATAGGTAATGCCATCAGCATATTGTATCTTCTTAAAATGATCAACTCCCTACAGTTAGTATGAAGAACTTCAACAAATAGTATAAAGATTATATCATGGTACGGTCAATGAAGGTGAGAAGACAAAAAAATAATGACAGTAGCATAGCGTTAACCTGAAGCAACATGAGGATGCGCTCAAGGCCATAAGTGATCTCAACAGATACTGGTGACAACTGAAGACTTCCAGCCTTGAAATAGATGAAAATATATACAAGGCAAGCAAAATGTAAGCATAGCAAGTAACAATGCCAGATACTGTAACTCTATATCAGCAAAATCATATATAGAAGTGCTATTCACCTGCTGAAAGTATGTGAATTGAGTGATTTCCATCCCATCCATCCAGATTTCCCAGCCCAATCCCCAAGCACCAAGTACCTACAACCATTTTCATGTCAATAAGGGCTTGCAGATGGTAATATATTAGTACTCCAAGAAACACATAACCTTACCGGGCTCTCCCAGTTGTCCTCCACAAATCGTATATCATGGTCACTAATGTTGATGCCTGCCAAATCAGATGAACCATAAGAACACCAGGCACAAATAACCATGCCTAATGAAAAATACACACACAACCCTATCAAGACAAAAGTACACAAGAAACTTTGGTAGCAGTTACATACTAACTAATGTAAGTTCCTTTTATGATTTGAGGAGCCTACCTAGCCGAAATTCTGTGCATATTTACAACCTAGGGCTGGTTAGGTTTTATGATAGACTGCCTCAATTCAAATCCGTTTCACATTCTAATTTCCTAGAGACAGCTTTATTTAATTTTGCTTAGGAAAGGAAAATTATAATGCATAAGAAATTTCTTAAGTAAATATACAAATGATAAGCAGGAACATTCACATTAGGGATTATACCTAAAGCTGACAGACTACGAATGAAAAGATCTTGCGAATTTCCAGGATCAGGCTTCAATATAACCTGAAACAAACAAGTAACACAAATTATAAACATCAAAACAACTTAGAGACACATTGAATAACAGCATGAACACCCAAAAATCAGACACCATAAAACAAATCCAATATGACCTGAAATTGTGTATGGCGCTGAAGCCTATTAGGATTTTCTCCATAACGACTATCATCGGGTCGAACGCTTGGCTCTATGTAACTTTCACAGGAAATATTCCCAATAACCAAAAAGAAAAGGCGTGGTCACTCCATAAGCACGAGATAAATAACCAGAGCAATGCCAGACAACAATGATAGAAGCCTCAAAAAACGTTACTGAATGAGGAAGAAGAATACAAGTGCAAGAACTTACGCCACATTCCATGGCTCAGGACCGAGGACCCTCAAGAAAGTGAGAGGATTCATAGTCCCAGCACCAACCTAATAAGTATAGTCGGAAATTAAAACAATTAGGCAGTATGCAACTGCAGAACTTTCGGATTGAAAAAGCAAAATCACAGATGGCAGTGTTGTAGTACCTCGGTGTTACTACATTGCATCACTGCACAACCAACTGAAGCCCAATAATCCTACAAAACACTCAGTACTATCAGCTCACTGGTCGTAATGCAAAATACTTAATTAGAGACGGAAAAGAAGGTGGCCAATGAGGAAAACAAATGAAAAATGCACCTGGAGTCGCTGAATAGCTTGCTGAAAAGTGAGGACTAAGGGTTTCTGAGGCGGCTCACTCTTCGGTTCCGTCGAGGAGTGCTGCTGCTGCTGCTGCTGCTGAAAGGCAGAATTGCTTATCGCGGAAACAGTCGTTCTTTTGAAATGGCGCCGAGTGACTCGAAAGCGACTGGGGTTTACGCCAATGACCGAGCGAAATAGGGAGAGGCTGCATGCGTGAGGCTTAAGGAAGGAAATCACCAGCGGAAGCGTGAGGATTGCCATGCCTGTTGTCGCTTGTTCCAATCCTGAGAGTCGACTCTCAAGTTTCAGCTCAACCTTATGGGCCGTTTACTTGTCATTCCATTTCTGTTAGCTGTAACAACAGAAAACAAAATTAAAATGAAAACGAAACTTTCGCTTTCCGAAAAACAAAACATGAAGAAACCTTGTTTAGCTTTCCGAAAAACAAAACATGAAGAAATCTTGTTTAGCTGAGAATTTTTATAGTTCTGAAACTGAATTCTAAAAACAAAAACCTGTTTAGTTACTTAATGCGTTTTTCTTGTAATTTATTACCACAATTCTTTTCATTGAGTATCCTACAACCCTAGCCATAATTATAATTTTTAAACTACAAATAAACACAATACAAATACTTAAAGTACTAGTACAACATCAAATTTCAAATAAGTTCAGCTTATACAATTTCAAACTGTTTCTCTTGCAAGAGCCTTTGGATCTTGCAGCCCTTTAAGTTGCTTATACAAATCAGCATTACAACAATTCGCAATTGCCGCACACAAATGCTTCAATCCGTCTAGGAACTGCTCCATGTTCGTCCCCAAATATCAGAGCACAATCCATACATGTCACCATTGTTGAGTTCCACAGACATCATTCATCCATAATTGAGCTAAACAAACGAACAACTGGAGAACTCAGTACTGGATGGATCGAATCTCCAATCATGGAGTTCCACAAAATTGAAGGCACACACATGGGTAATTTTGAGAGAAAATACTCATTGAAGTTGAGAGGGTTGGGTGAAAGCTGCCTAGTCTTAGACCCACATGAGAGATTGGTTAATTAGTCTATGCAAGGGAGAGTAGTCATTATTCGAGGTAGGTCTCTGGACGATGAAATTTTCAATAATAACTCACTTGAAAAATTCAATTCTCTGGTAAACGGAGGATTCGGCTGGAGCTTCTCGGTCGATGATGGCGGCGCGGGGCTGGCGAGGAAGAAAAGATGATGGGGTGGTGGTCTGGGCAGATGACGGCGGCGCGGGGCTGGCGATGGAGAAACGATGATGGCGGTAAAGATGATGGGGCGGGGTTGCTGGAGAGATAAGGAGATGGAGGCCGGGAGCAAGCGAGAGGTTTTTAGGCTTAGGTTGGGTGGTGGAGCAAAACGACGTGTTTTGGAGCACGGAGGAAAAGGGCGGGAATAAAAAAAAAAACTGCGGCTAATCCTCGTAGCACGTAGCTTCCTCTCCCGCTCCTGGAGCCTCTCCGCCTCCGAAATCTCCAAAGCTCTGGCCCCATCGCCACACCACCAACTGCTCTTCTCCAACCCCGCCGCCAACGCACCGGAAGACATCACCGCCGACTTCGACGGCAACAACCTTTTCTCCTCCGCTTCCTCCGAGACCTCCCAGATGGTCATGGACCGTATCCTGTCTCACTCGCAAGAGGTCTCGCCGTGAACTTCCGGCAGGCTTTCACACAGCAGCGGCCCATTCAACGGTTCACTGACGGACTGCCCACCCCTTTCGCCGTCCGAGATCGAGGAAGTTAAAGCCGCATGTTTACACCTAAAATATTTTGGCCGGAATTAAATGCCGCATTAATTAGTCTCGGCATTTAATTCGATACCGCGGATAAAAAACGGTGTAGTTTGGAGTCGAACGGCCTCGCAGAGAGTTAAAACAACACCGCGTAGAGGCTCGACGGTACCGCGGTGTTGAGAACGACGTTGTTCGGTGAAAACAATATCGCGAGTCAGGGCTACGAATTTATTCGGGTTCGCGATGCTGCTGTTGGAGTTGGAAAAGGGAACATTTTTATTTTATCCTTGTCGGAGGAGGGATCAAACGGTGCCGCGAACCTCAAAGCTCAACGGCATCGCAAGACGAGAAAAACGGTACCGTTTAGTAGAGAACAATGGCGCGGAATGAAAAACGACATTGTTTGATGTGACCGGGACGGAGCAGTTCAAGGTCGGCATCGATTAGTGAAAAGCGATGCCGCGGAAAGATTAAACGACGCCGCGAGAGAAAACAACACCACGGAGTATAAAACGACAGTGTTTAATATAAAACAATGTCGCGAGGAAAAAAGTAGACAGAGTTGTTTGGGGAATAAAACGACATCGCGTGAGATTCACGCCAACCAGAGCGAGGAGGAGATCAAGACGGTTGAGACACGTGGGAGTTAACAACGGAGCAGTTGAGGAAGCGGTTTCACCAAGCGTGAAGACTACGGAGATGTTTTTCAAATAAAAGCAGTGGAGCAAGGAGAGAGAAGGGAGAACCAAAAATCAACACAGATCAACTCTGTTCAACCTTTACCTTTTCTCCGTAACTCCTTCGCGGAGCTCTCCTTCCAGGAAGGATCTCCATAGTTGTAGTCTTAGTCGTAGTCGCAGAGCTCTCCACGGGAATCTCCATAGGAGTAGCGGTAGCGTAGATTCCTCAAAACTCAAACCCTCGTTCGAACGTAGTTTGGAGAGGTGCGAACCGTAGTAACGGTCGTTCTTGGTTAGAAGTCAGAGGTGCATCGATCAAATCAACATCGCCCCCGACGGTGGATATTTGACGGTCACGTTGATTTCACCATTTAGAGGTGCATCGATCAAATCAACAGCGCCGACATTCGGCGGCGGATATTTGACGGTCGTCTCGATTTCAGCAATCAGAGGTGCATTCGATCAAACGGCACCGCAGGAGTTTCCACCGCGAAACATCAAATCAACATCGCCGGAAACCGAATTCGGCACTGGCGTTGGCATTTGGTTTTCCCGAGGAAACACCGCCCTCACCGTCTCTGCCCGTTTCAGCCGCTCTCGCCGACTCTGTCACTGCCACTGCCCTCTGCTTCCCACACTCGATCTCTGGCTTCAGTTGCTGCGTTCTTTCATTCCCATATCCGTCTGGGCTGCTCCATAGCTGCCGATTCAGAGAGAATCTCTCTACCAATTTCTTTTGGATGACCTAACACTTAATCCTTTCTTTTACTTATATTTGCCTGCGCTATTCCTTTCTTTTATTTGCTATGTAGTGTTAGGATCCTTCGTGTTTTTTCCTTGTTTTTTCTATGTTTCAATTGTGTTCTGTTATCTATGGTTCCTTTTGCTCTGCCGTTTGACTTTACCAGTCTTGGATTTTCCTTTCTGGGTTGCCTCTTTTCTACAGGATTTTAACAAGGAGTTGCCTCTTTTCTACAGGATTTTAGCAAGGAGCTTAAGGATGCAGGGTTGGCTTTGCCATCCACCGGCACCGGCCGATTGTTTGTAGAAGGAGATGGTTCACAGGAGGGAGGTTGATTGCATGAAGGGCGCGTGTCAGTGGAGTGGAGTCCTGACCAGCTGTCTCGTTCTTCGTTTCCTGTTGCTAGCTGATCGATCAGGGAAATGGATAAGTTTTAATTTGTTTTCCCATGAAATGTTCTCATCATATCCATTGTTCAATGAATGGACCGGGGTGTAGGGATTTGGGCTGTTCAGCCTTCTTTTTGGTGGGTGTTTTTGGCAACCTAAGCTCTCATTAGATGGGTCTAGTTGGGCATTTTACTTTATTTGTTTTGTAGGAGCTGGAGACGACAGTTTATTCTGCGGTTGCGGCAATCAGGTGCTTCATTTGTGGCGCAGCTACGTGTTGGCAAACAATTGTTGGGGGTTTAACATGTCGTGGGAATGGAATGGTTGTTCTACTTTTGCTATAGGCAAAGATGATATATTCTCCGGCTTCTTTAGCTTTGGCGCGTGTTGTGTACACTAGGAGTGAACAAACACACCCGCAAACCGACTTACCCGTCCAACCCGACTCAACACACCCGTATTTATCACTAAAACTAAGGTTTTGGGTTGGGTGAGGGTTTTCTTTTCTACAACCCGCCTCCTTTGGGTTGGGTTTGGGTTTTGGATTACACAACCCGTAGAACCCAACCCAACCCGTGTTCTAACTATTGATATGAGTTCGTATCCAAAAAATATTTATGTCGTATATAACCATACTTATTAAAAAATTAAGATATTTTGCCATATTTCTCTTTCATGGTCTCACTAATCTAATGCATTTTTTGGGTTAAAGTTTAGACATAGATTTAATATAGCTATGATTCACGTAATCATTTTTCTTGTGTACGATTTTAATAGAATTACATATTATGGATGCGTTCGTTTATAACATTTTTATTCTATTTCAACACATATCGTGAAAAAAACTAGATATATGTTGAAGTAAATCACATTTTAATAAAATTTAAACAACATTTGTGAACTTTGATACCTTTCACCTCAGTATATTCGTTTCAAATTTTAATTAGTTATAAAATATTTTTATGGTGTAGAATAATTACATATTTTGTGTTGGGTTTTTACTTAAAAATATCGCCAACCCGACCCAACCAAATTAGAAACAAACCGTAGGGTTTTAATTTTTTTGGGTGGGTTTGGATTTAATATTTCTCAAACCGTAGTGCATGGGTCGGGTGATTAAAATGGCTAAACCCGGACCATCCGACCCATGTACACCCCTAGTGTACACGCTTATATCCTTTATTGCATTATTAGGATACTAACAGGGCTATCGACGGCTGCATTTGATTTTTTCATTTACTACATATTTGTAAGAATACTGCATTGTACACCTACCTGTGATATACACCTATCTATGACAAAAAAAAAAAACTGTGGCCTCTGTGAATTGAACCCGGACTCACATTAATGAATAGTGACGTTTTTCCTCTGGGAAACGAGAATAACCCGTCCCCTTGTTTCCAAAAATCAATTATTTATTAAGGATGGTTAGAATGTTGAATGCTTGTATTATTTACCATGTATTATTTTTTGAATTTTTTCTACAAATAATACAAAGATTATTTATTTGATGTAACATATGCTATCACCCAAATAAAAACCCAACCCTCCCATCTTAATCTAACTAGCATAGGGCCCGGCCCGTTGGTCAGAAGAATTTTGTCGAGAAATATGGTATATGTGATGGATACAATAGATAATTTGAAATACATTTTTGAAAGTGATCCAACTATACATAATGTGTT